ACTGTATAGTCACTTTTCTTTATAATGACCTCTGGCTGAATCCTAAAACTATTTTCCTAACAACTTGATCTTCAAGGCAATAGTGTATGTTCCCCAGGGTTCTTGGGAGTCCAGGCATTTAAATCAGCCTCATAATCACCAGTACAAATAAGCTGGCAGGATTCCCCAACCTTTCCTAATAGTCCATGTTTGATTCTGTCAAAATGTGACTCCAGCTAAATGCTGTTCACCTGACAGACCATGGGATCAAAGTGGAGGTGCCCACCAGCAAGGGGATGGGGGAGGAGGAGCTCGGACACTCTGTTCCTCCCTTTCCAGGCTTATTAGCCTTGTCGTGTTTGATGTCTCAGTTAGCATGGACACCCACTAATGAGCAGATGGGATCATCTGATCCACCATCAAAGGCCCCGCAGCAAACAGGGCCATGATGTCTTGGGGTGCGGGTCTTTTACCAAGACAACTGCTAATTAGTGGTTTGCCATCTGCAGAGCTGCTCCAAGAGCTGTAGCTCATGGGGTTTGAGATGGTACACTGAAACGTCCTTCTCACTCTGTGTAGTAAGGGTCAGCGCATACAAATGTACACAACGGAGATATACGGCAACATCTCAACACTATGAAAGTGACACCATAATATTTACCAAAATCTCTTTCATTGAAACGATCAATTGAATTCAATATTAAAATGTGTTTTTTAATTTAAAAAAAATATGATTTAAGGATCTTTTTAATAGAAATTTCATGTTTATTTTTTAACTCTTGATGCTGGTATATTTTTGGCATTTTTATGTTCAATTCAGAAAATAGTAATCTGTGCCCTGGAATAAAATAATTTAAATGAAACCAAACCATTAGTTGTTCACCCGACGTGATAGATGTTCTGAAAAATAATATTGTGGATAAACAAACTGTGGTTTGGTTCATTCCTCCTTCATGAAAATGAAATAGTATGCTTTGAATCTCTGTCTAAAAACAAAACCCACCCCATCATTGTAATTGTCATCTCTCATGATATACTGTCTGAAACAACCATTCAACGAAGTGGAAAATTTCTGCAAATGTTAGTTTAAGATCTTAGTTTGGAAGATGCACACTGGTCACTCATGTCAATGGAGATCTATGTACTCTATGATGACTTGATATGAAGAGGTAGATTTGGACCAAGCGCCCTCCTCTTATGGTGAAGACTACTGTAGGCAATGATTTACAGATAGCAGTCTCTGTTGGTGCCTACAGATGTACTTAAGGGACAATAATGGATCTATGTTCAATAAGCTCTGTGGTACACGCATATTTACTTAAGCAATCTTTACTGAGAGCACCAACTGCACTGGTTGGCTCAGTGATGTGTAATTGTATAAGGTATATTGACATTTATATTTTACAGAGCTGTATATCATATACATGTTAAAGTAATATTTATGTATACAATATTTACACAATATCTTTAATAATGACAGAGCAGGCAATGCCCGTTCAAGATTTTATAGGCAAAGAAAATTTCTGGTGAGTAGTAATACCAGTATGATACAAGATGCTCGCTCTAATTTATTATTTAAGATATTGTTGATTATATGGTACTGACATTTTTGACCGCCTCCGTGGTCCAGAGGTAGAGCGTCCACCCGGAGAGCGGATGTTCCGGGGTTTCGATCCCCAGCTGCGTCATACCAAAAGACTTAAAAGATGGTACTTGTTGTTACCCTGCCTGGCACTTGGCATTAAGGGGCTAAAACAAGGACTGTTCAGCTCAGAGTCAGTATAGTCACACACACACACACACACACACACACACACACACACACACACACACACACACATGCATGGACGTTGCTGACAGTTTTGTAAAGAAAGGTCTTGAATTAAACTGTTACACACTTCCAACAACTTGAGATTACAAAAAGGCATGCCAAATATATAGTTTTTCAAACTTTTTTTTCACTTTTTTAGGAAATTTAGGATTTGGTTTTGGTTTCGCAAGAAAATAAGATTTGTCAGACTTGAGCAGGCTGAGGCCTTGCGTGCACACACGTACAAACCAAGAAAAGATAATGCCTCAGACTTGTTAGTATGTGGTTAGTTGTGAAAAGGTCTGCTATTCCAATATTTCTATGATCAAAGCTGTGGACTTGGAGTATACTGCACTTGTTGACCTTAATCTGCACACTTGCTTGCACTCAGTGAACTTTGGGTCAGTTAAACTTTCATTACATCCCATTCAAACATCCTCTTGTTAAACAAACTAAAGTGATATATTTTGCTGCACTTGACGGAAGTACCTGTGTCAACAGCTTCATATGACATCATTTTCTTAGGTGAAAATTTAGTTGCTGTCAGATGCATCATGTCCAGAAATCCCAGTTTGAGTTGTGTGATGGTTGTATGTGTTCCTTGTATTTATGTAATACCATGAATGTTTAATTTCTACCAGTTTTACAGTTTCACTTCCTTATTTTACCAACAAATGGCTACAGTAAAACCCAATGTTTCTTCCTGTTAACATTACATCATTAGCAAGCACATTTACCTGTTATTAAGAAAAGATTTATTATTTCATGATATTAAGGGGGGCGATGGGGTAGCCTAGTGGTTAAGGTGTTCACTCATCACTTTGATGGCTTGAGTTTGATTCCCAACATGGGTACAATGTGTGAAGCCCATTTCTTGTGTCCCCTGGCGTGATAATGCTGGAATATTCTAAAAGCAGCATCAAACCATGCTCACTCATGATATCAACAGTAAGGTCGTTACTTCTGCTTCAAACATGTTTATCCCAACAACGGCCTTGTCAATGAAAATATTCATGTTCCCTATTGCTAATTTTAAATTCCTTGCTGTGTACTATCTTGACAAAAAAGAAAAGAGAAATAGAATAATAGAAAATAATTCCTGTCACCTCCAGATGTCAGTTTATCTACCCACATTGAATTCTCCTGGTAGTTTTGCCATACATATTGCTTTTAGTGTTTTGTTATTGGCAGCCTTGAAAGCCCCAACAATAATGCAATCCTTCACTCATGAGTAATACTTATTGTTGTTAGGAAAATAGCACTACTGAAAGATTCTTGAAGGGGGGCCATGCCAAACAAATTCAGGCCAATTTAATGAAAAATTAAGAGATGAAAATTATGAGGTTTGAACTGACATTTGGGGAAAATTGTTATATTATTTGGGATTTTTTTTATAAAAGAATATGTGGTATTGATTCAACTTTCAAGACATATTCTGATGTTTCAATAAAAGCAGTTAATCTTTAGAACACATTCCAAGGAGGATTACTTGTTTGACAGGTCCCTTGATAGAGTTCATATATAAGGTCGGTCTTTCATAGATTTCGTAGGCTTTGTGGAGTTCCTAAGGGTTTTATTATTCATACAATCCTCTTATTGTCTACATTGTACATGTGTTATGCTCCCTTCAGTGTGATATAGGTAATTATATTGGCACCACATAGAGACAACACATGTATACATTTTTATCTGGATAATTATACTGTGTTTTCTATGATATGAATTTCATACCTGTCAAGGCTATTAAGAATATGTTGAGTCGAGTTTGTTAAGTGAATGCATAATGTTAACAGTTAAGTACAAACATTACACCAGCATTTTTAAGTCACACCCAATTATCAAGAAAATGTTGTGATTTATTAAATTGTTTGTTATCCTGAATGTTCTGATTAAGTGTTTAAGTTGTGTCTTTTTTTGTTTGGTAATGAATTAAATCAAAACAATAATTTTGCAATATTTCTTTTTGTTATATATATTTTTGAAATGACTTTGTCATCTTTTCAGTGATAAGATATTTTGACTTGTCTCTGTAGGAAGAGTTTGTACCTTCTTCTTTTACTTCATCAAAAGGCTTGTGATCTTTCCTACTTCTGTGCCACTAAATTACACTCAGAATTACATTGATGTGTTGCCAAATGTGACAATAATGTCATCAGCATAGTTCTGAATGTATATATATATATACACCAATCTGCTGGGTAATTGACCTCCTTCCTTCCCCATTTATCAGAAACCTTTAAATGTCAATGCCACCATCACTGGGTCAACCTGATTCCTTATCTTGTCTTGAATTTACACACATTGAAAGCTGAAGAAACGGCTACAGGAAGGTCTGCAACCTTGACAAATTGCGCAAGGAAAATCTGCACTTGTGGTGATTCTGATTGGCACAATCGCCATGTGCCTTGGGTCTCTGTCGACTGGCAGTAAAGAGTACTGTGTCATGTCTTCCGGGGAGCTGATACCTTGATTCTGGTGTCTGGAGAATGGTTGTCCCTGTGGCTATCGCTGTAGCGTTTACCATTACATGCCCTGACAGCGTTTCTTGAGCCTATGTCCCACAGTACTCTTGTCATCTGCTCACTAACAGCAGACGGTCAACAGGCGTGCACCAGACAACACTGTATTTCTCACAACACACTTGAAGGACATCACTGTTGTCAGTGTCAGAAAAGCAAATTGATGAATTTGGCTTGTTAATATACAGTTCAAAGGCTTCAGGGATATTACCACTGGGATTAATAGGAAGAAGTGATGTTTTTTGGTGCTCTCAGTCCAAATTTGCAAACTTTGTTTGTGAGAATTGGATCAGGTGTGATTACCACCTGATGGTATTACTGAGGTTCTGTTGAGGTTATTTCACAAAGAACAGTCAACATTGACGCAAAATGGATTCCATCATTTCAAATGAACCGGAACTAATGACGTGCCGAAGGCATTCTCAACTTATTGACAAGTTCTTTATTTGTTTTAAAAGGTATTGTACAATATTTGTTTCCTTGCAGGTTAGGCGTATTAAATATTACAGATTCAGTTTAACACATAATGTTTTGATTATGTATATTTTGAGGCTTCTTTAGAAATATATTTACCAATGGACCAGTTAAATTGATGTGAATTTTTCGATGATTTGTTTTCAGGCAACCTACATTATATATTTTGTATCTTTATTTCATGAGATTGTAAGTTTCCTTTCCTTCATTCTTCATAGATTGGAAAGTTCGGGAAGTTTTTACAAATTAGCCCGCCGTCTAAGTCAAAGGGATCGGAAGGACCCAGACTCACATTCCCGACAGCGTTCAGTCAGCCTTGACTGGTGAGACATGCATCCTGATTGATGGAAATGTGTTGTGTTTGTCATCACATGCATGTTGCCATTTCATTGCCCTTAATTTCACTAGCATGTACCTTGTTCACCCTGCAATTATGTGTTTCTTGATCTTCCTTTGCTTTTTCATTATTTCCTCATCATTTTATACCTTAAACATCAGTGATTATTCAGTCACTGTTTGTGACACATCTTGCATGTTTGTTGTTAGAAATTATGATTTTGTGTTCTGTTTTCATGTGGTCTCATGTAATAGAAATATCAGTAATGGTAATTAAGTTTAAGGTGTTTGGATTTTTGGCATAGGATTCTTATTTATTATCCAGTATTGTTTAAGACAACTGCCTCCTTTTCATATATCAATAAAAAAATTATTGTGGTAATGAATGTTAAGTAATTTCACTAACACTGGGGCAGTGGGGTAACCAAGTGGTTAAGGCCTTTAACAAGACAGCTTTGATTAAATGATAAATTGTAATGCTTCTTCATGTAAAACATTAACACTCAGTTTCATGATGTGTTTATACATGTATTGCACTATGTAAACAAGTTGACTACTGCACTGACATTCCCCTTAATGGAAGTTGTGCTGCTAACAACCGTAACAGACATAATTGATTGTCAAACACAATATGTCCATAACCCTACCCCTGTGATCTCATGTTACTCTATACAGATGTATGTCCCGTGTGGACTGTTTATAAGTTGTTCAGTATTTCATTTAAGTGTACCACTCATGCATCATTTAACATTTAACACATCATTCACAAATCTGTGACCCACACTGGTTTAATCTATTTTCAATGGAGTTAAGCTAGGTGTACTGCAGGGCTGCATAATTACTCCCACCCTTTTAATAGTGAACTCAATCAAAATCTATCATATAGCTATTTACAGTATCCAGCCTTGCATTAGACCAGTACTGTTCATGACCCGTTACAATGGTTATCCAGTTGTGTGTATTAAATATTTAGTACCGCTTGGTTACCCACTGTCTTAAATATTGGGTATAATATGCTCATTCATAGGGCAGTGCGGCCCAGACAATGGGATCAATTTAAGATATTTATAACTGTGAGCCCCCCTGGTACTGGAGTATGGTTACTTATCACCACGTTACCCTGTGATATAGGGGACTATGTGTTTGCGGAGTATGTTATTGATATGAGCAATACCTGCCTCATGTGAGACAATATGCGAATTGGGACTTTGCAAATATTGCCTGTCCTTGGCCACCCTCAGTTAAATCAAGGCTGTGATGGTACCAAGATGTACATAGATTCGGAAAATATGTTACGAAGTATGGCCAAAATGTATACTCCTCGGCGGCTGTTGCCATGTTTGTCAGAAAGCTATAAGGATGATGTAAAATCAAGTGATGAGGAAGATGACACAGATGATGATTTTGACTTTGAAGAAATGTGAGTAGCATGAAAGTGGAAATGTTAACAAAAATCTAAAGTCTATCAATATTAAAAAAAATATTTGTATGTTTTATCTGCTTTTAGATTTCAGTAGGAAATGATATATAGTAGGTAATGTATATACCTTGTGTAAGTTGAAACTATGAACTTACATTTATGGCAACTTGTTCTCAACTTGGAATTATGTTTCATGAGGAGTGATAGTTTCAATAAAAAACTATAAGAGTCGGGTATTTAACAATTGTTATCCTGTCACATGGCTTCGTATGTTGTTTCTTGTGTTATTTCCCATGTTGTTTCTCATGCATGGAGTGATGTCTGGAACATCTTCTGTATTGCATGTGATTCTTGGCAATGGTTTACTGTATAGTCTGTATATGCATCCAACCTTTTCTGTCTGTCTGGAGTATTATCACTTTCTATTTTTTTATATTTTATAATAAATTGAGATGATTGGACATTGACTCTTTCAAGACAATAGCTTTCTACTTCACTTGCAAATTTCAGTCTACAGAGGCATCTTCTCCATATGACATGTGATAATGTTTTGTCTTGAGTAGACACTCTGGAGTCTTTGCATCTCCATTTCCATAATGGTCATGTCAGAAGATGCTCAGAATGTTTTCTTTTACAGATATGCATGTTATTATTAACACATGATGAATACAGGCCGAAACCATGGTGGTGAAAGCCTCAGCCTTGAACTCAAAACATTGGCATTCCTTTGATTTTTCTCATCATTCACCTTCAAGTTGGTGCGAAATGTTGACAGCCATTTTTGTTGTTTTCAGTGGTGATGGACGAACTATAAAGATATTCACAGCAGATGACCTAAGCATGGATGGCATGCCGGCTTTAACAGCCTCACCCAGTGCCCCAGCCTTCCTCAGTAAGGGTGGGGCACCGAGCCCCTCCCCCAATCGGCAACCAAGGTCACTAGTTGGTAAGTGGACATATTAACCTTTATTCTTTTCTATTGTCACCATGGTTTAACAAATTTTGTTAGTCATGAACTCATGCAGAGCATGGGGGCCCAGTCGTCTATATCAATGCAATTCAAAATTCTGAGTTGCATCCCTTTGGCAGGACAGGAACCTATGATTGTGGGTTTGAATTCTGGTTTGTCAGCACCATAGCCATCTTGTAGGTTTCACCAAAGAATAGTAAACTCTGTCACTTCGGGCTTTCCTCCCACATCAAGCTGACAATGTCATTTTACTGAAATACCATCCAAAGTTGTGTTAAACACAACTCACTCACTCACATTGACTCAGGTTGCTGATTATATTCCATTTAGTTAAACTGTAAGTCACATTAAATTTCTTGTCAATGGAATATTACATGTTAATAAAAATTCTCCCACGTAATTAATCTGTTATATATATATATATATATATATAACACGTTATACACGTTATATATATATATAACACATGAGGAAAAAATAGATGTTAATCACTGATAATAATGGTAATATTGCATTCATGGAATAAACTGAACTCATACACATGACAGGTTAAGTAACAAGTATAATATATTCACACAATGTTTCAAACTGATAAAACTATTACATATTTTTAACAAGCTAGAGTGAATCATGATTTATTCATTTATGAACACCTCATCACCCTATAGGAAATATGGTTGTGTCTCTGAGTGTAGAGACATCATCTCATTGGAATCACTGGTCATGGTTAATATTACAGGATTCCACATCCTATACTTTGTTCATAATCAAGAAGCTTTTTGAAGAGGTTAGCAAGATATAGTTCTTGGGTCATCTCCAGGTTTTGGGACACAGGAAGCAATATACTTTAAACACCTAGCAGAACTTAAGAAACAAAGTCTTTCTTTCAATCATTGTTCCATCAGCATTCTATTCTGCCAAAAGTGCTTCACATGACAGATAATCAATTAAAGGAAGCTGTAAGGTCGACATCTTTGCAACTCTATAGATTCCAGAACTGATGGTGGTCCGAAAGATGTGTGTTCCATCGATACCATTTTCAGCTTTTCCTTTACCATTATGGTTTAAAAAGTTATAGAAATTGATTAATTTGAACACTGTGAGAACTTCAATCATACTAACAACACATAAATGAAAGTGAAGGCTATTTTCTCTTTGAGTAGCATTAAGAATTGTTCTATGGTTCTGTGACAAAAGGGGGCGTAGGTGGTCAAGTAATCTAAGATGCTGCAACTAGCTGTGGCATGCTAGAAGCATCTTGGGTTTGAATCCCTGTTTCGCTTTAATTACGACCCTTGGGCGATCGACACCATACCTGTTTTATAGGTATCATGCCGCGACATGATACTCTTATGATGAAACTATTGTACAGGATTATTCAATAAATTCAGCACTGATAATTCTATTATTAAAAGTTACTGATTTTTTTCAGTGACGCCAAGAAAGAAGGGGTCCAGCTGTGACCTTGAGAGTTTATCTCCTGCCAAGATGGAACGACGGCGCAGTGAAAAGGATAGACGGTCATGTTATGACATCCATGGTAAGTGTAGGAGTCCATAAGGCATTGGTAGCAGCCCCAACTGATGCTACTTAGCCCACCACTACAGAAATGAACTCTTCTTGCTGCTTGAAAATCTAACATTTTTATTGATACATGATATAGTTACCTTAATATAATACCAAACACAAAAAAATACCAAAAATACAACTGATTACAATTAAATTTGATTTGATTTAAAAGATTATCTGACGAAAATAAATAAATACCAGTTTTGACGACATCATCGATGTAATATTATTTTTTACGAAAATATTTTTTTCACTGTTTCAAATCTAAAATAAAGTGTTTAACATTGCAAACTAATCATTAGGTGAGTCCTCTTTCGTGTACATGTCAAATGTAATCTTGACATATTTGCATGAATTCTGTGTCTTTGTGTTCAAATGAATATTGAAAATATGAGTAGGCCCATATAACTGAATAAAAACAACTAAACCCTTTCCATAATAATAAGAAATGTGTGCTAATGCAGAATCCATTGTAGGATTCTGACCGTATCATAAGCTTGTGTTCATGAATCGCTATCAAATAGTGATGATACACCCGTTGAAATGTATTTATCTCAAAATTTTATGAGCTCAGTCAGATAAGAAAGAAGCCTTTGTGAGTGGCAGAGCAGTAGAGCTGATTAGCAGAGTCGTGATCTAGAGAGCGCTCAACCCTCTCTGAGTATTACACAGAAGTATGACGTTTCCCTTCCAATAACCATCCTCATAAGTGTTCTTATACGGTGACTTATGTTTTAAGGATTTGTTTGATCAGCAAAAGCACATAGGCAAAGGAGTAACCCATCTCATTCAATAGCTATATTCTGTCACTTTTCATTAAAGAAAGTTACTGTTTTGTTATCAAGAAAGCCAAGAGCCTCTGCTGAAGCTCGACTGTCTAGTGGTTTGATCCTGAAATAGCGCACTCTTTTGGCAAAGAATTGTCCATGTCAAGCACCTCCAATGTGGTAGATTTGCTAACTCAGCAGTAACTACTTTGTACTATTTTTGTGAGAAAAAAGGCTAAATTTGGATATTAACTGAGGAATAATTAGACATTATCCTATAGGTTCATACCGGGCCCTTGTTGCGCTGGTCTTTTAACAAGATGATAAATAGACACGAGGTCATGTACCACAAGGAGTAGAAATACTGGTTGTCGTCATTGCCATGAAGTTTATGTGAGAAATCATGTTTCACTAATGAACTGATGTATTTAATCATTTGTTTGGCGTTCCTTTAGTTAATTTGATATACAGTATGCTTTGAAGAAGAATTGGTTGGAATGACAAAAATGTTTTATTAATGTGAACTGTGCATGTGGTATGATTTTATGACTGCTTGTGACAATGTGATTGATTGATTATGTCAAACTTATCTGAAAGACTGCAAACATTTATTCAATTGATGTGAGAATCATGATATCATGTAAGTTCCTATTTACTTTCAACAGTTCATATTTGATCTTAGTCATCAAATACCAGAAACTAAATGCATGAATGAAAGATAAAAGTAATGAACTGATCAAATTTGCATGAATGAAAGTAATGAACTGATCAAATGTGCATGAATGACAGATGAAAGTAATGAACTGATCAAATGTGCATGAATGACAGATGAAAGTAATGAACTGATCAAATGTGCATGAATGACAGATGAAAGTAATGAACTGATCAAATGTGCATGAATGACAGATGAAAGTAATGAACTGATCAAATGAGCATGAATGACAGAGGAAAGTAATGAACTGATCAAATGTGCATGAATGACAGATGAAAGTAATGAACTGATCAAATGTGCATGAATGACAGATGAAAGTAATGAACTGATCAAATGTGCATGAATGACATGAAAGTAATGAACTGATCAAATGTGCATGAATGACAGATGAAAGTAATGAACTGATCAAATGTGCATGAATGACAGATGAAAGTAATGAACTGATCAAATGTGCATGAATGACATGAAAGTAATGAACTGATCAAATGAGCATGAATGACAGATGAAAGTAATGAACTGATCAAATGTGCATGAATGACAGATGAAAGTAATGAACTGATCAAATGTGCATGAATGACAGATGAAAGTAATGAACTGATCAAATGTGCATGAATGACAGATGAAAGTAATGAACTGATCAAATGTGCATGAATGACAGATGAAAGTAATGAACTGATCAAATGTGCATGAATGACAGATGAAAGTAATGGACTGATAAAATGTGTAAGAATGACAGATGACGGCTTAATCTTACTGGAACATGTTTATAACATTTCAAATTAATAAAAACACAGCCAAAGGAATTTATTTTATTTTCCTAAAAAAGAGTGATAATTTTTATTCAATAAAGAAACGACAAACAGTGATGTTATTACACGCCTTCTAATGCTGAAAGAGAGCAAGTTTATCTATCAAATGATGTTTGATAAGACAAGTGAACCATCAAACATATTAGCCATGAATTGTGAATCTAACTTGGGAGTACCACTATCAAATGAACACCTCTCTCTATGTTTAAATGTATTAATGAATGCAGCTTTGACAATAAAACTAGAAACTTTCAGTATAACTTTTTATATGGCATTATAACAATACAATCATTTTTATACAAAATAGGAATATCTACAGACTTTAAGTGCTACTTCTGCAGTGGTGATGTGAGATGTGTCCAACTCTTTTATGATTGTCATAAAGTTAGAAACTTGATTGATAATTTTCAAATTTGGTATGAAACTCAAATAGATAATAGTGTAGAAGTTACAAACAATCCTTTCTGCTTGGAGACCCTGACCAGGGCATTCTGCTTAATCACTTGTTCATAATTATAAAGCATAACATATGTGCAAATACAAGGAAACTAACGTTAATATCACTCAACTACAGAAAATGATAAGACATAATAATGACATTGAAAAATTCATACATGGGTGTGATATCACATCTTTTCCAAACGAACATCCTAGTATTGCTGTATATTTAGAAACATCAAATACCATTGTCTTTCATCTATCCTCCCTCCTATCCAAATTGACATCTATCTTTTCTTTTCATACTGCATATTATCTCCTATTTCTATTTCAAATCTTTGAAAATGTCATGTGGGGATGTAGGGACGACAAGTAAATAATGGCTATTTTCCGTAATAATAATAATAATAATAATAATTCTCGCTTTCAAAATGTCACGCTTGCATCCCAAGTACCAAGTTGTCCGACTCCCCATTGTTCTCGGTGCCTTAGGTATGGTACCTCCCAATCTGTTGACTGACATTGAGAGAGTACCTGGGTTTGCTACCAGGAATACAGCCCTTCTGACAATCTGGGTAGTGCAGAAGGCTGCAGTGTTAGGGAGTCTTCACATTCTCCGAAACGTTCTGGGTGGGTTTGACTAGGCAGCGCTTCCTGGGAGAAGTCCCATTCGCTGTCTGGGCTGCGTGTAGATGGGGCAAGGGCCCTGAGCTGATGATGAGCCTAACCAACCTGACTGTGCCAGGATCACCCAAACCCTCTTTGCTGCATTTTTTATTTTAATCTGTAAATAATAATAATATTAAAATTTAAAAAAAAATTCTTTTTTACTTTAAGTACACATGTACGTGATTGTTCTTATATAGATCTACTATTTTAGAAATAAACGTGGGATGTTAATAAGATGTACAAGCTTTAGGAATATGTACCCTTTTATAAATAATGATGACACCTGATTACAATCTAACCTCGGCAATGTCGAACAAGTCCTTTTTTTAACAGGGGGCTTACATTTGGTATTTCCTGGATATTCTCACAATTTTCACATCTGCACCTTATCTCCCAATACAGATTGTAATATCTCCCACATTTTAATGCGATCATTCTGCAATTGCGTTTATCTGCATAACCCAGCTACATCTATATTGGGATCAACTTGCTAGACACTTCCCTCTCAAACATAATGTTGTCCATCTAATGATGTCATCAGGTTGAGAGTGCATGTTTGAAACTCTAGAAATGACATCATGATATAACAATGTTTTATCATGAAATAAAGCACCCTTCGTTGTTCATTGTTCTTATCATGTAGCTATCTTATATTTGGGGATAGTATGTGCGCTTGTGATTCCATTGTTAACTGTAAGTTCTTTGATTTTTAGTATCTCATTCAATTCTCTATACAAAATAACACTTAAAATTATTCAGTTTGAAATACCAAAATGCAACATTCTTAATCTTAAGAGCCCATATAAGAAATGTTTTGCAATCTCAAGTATTCTCTCCTTAAAGGTCCTGACATATTTTCAGTATCAATGCCCTAGAAATATTTCCTTGACATCACCATTCTCATCGGAATCTATTTCTTGTTATAGTGGCTCAAAATAAATCGGCAATTAGGTTTTCTCCTTAACTTAATTAACCAAGCTGTGATCCCTAATAGACAACTATTGCTAAAGTCTGACAGTCGGAACGACAGCCATGATATGCTGCTCGAAAACTCATGAAGATGTTCTTAAGTTAGATTAATTAGAACATTACCAGGGGATAATTACATTACTGGAAGTTCAGTATGATTTTTAAATGTTCTGTCGCCATGGTTACACTCAGTACAGACTTTTCAGCTGAAGGGTTACCTGGTGCTGCATTGTGGGATACTCCAGTAGCATCGTTCGTCTGGTGTCCGCCATGCATGATTGCAGTTCGGCAACCTCTTAATTTCTAATGTTTATCGTATACAGGCACTGTTAAAACTGTCAGGCATCTCTGCATTTAAGAGCCTGTTGAAAGAAAGTTGCAATGTTGCGGACATTTGTGAATCTTGATGTCTTATAAAGTTAAGATTAGTTACAGATAACAATTATTTTGGGAAATGTCTTTTCAAGAATGTAAGGAATTTTTTTTGGTATCTAAATGGAATTTCTCAGAATATGTAAAATTCTTTTCACCCCTGGCTGAAAATAGCATTCGTATTTAAAAAGTTTAACTACTTAGTCAAATATTTTGGTTTTATGGCATATTTGCAATATAAAACTTTGTTGATAAAATTCTTCAGTATTATTTTCTATTAAAGCAGCTTAATTATGTTATGTTGATTCCCTTCATATTTCATTTGTTATCAAGTGCTTATATTTGTACTTGGTTGTTGTTTCATTGAATGTTGATGCAAATTGTGTCAGTGCATGGGAGGTAACTCTGTAAGGTGTTTTGTAACAGTTGAAGTGGTTATAAAATCACTATTGTTGCACGATACTGAGACCAGCAAATCAAGTGAAATTCTTACATCTGTTTATGAAATTGTTTAAAATCAAATGGATTTAAGTAGATCAACTTAAGGATTTTGCATTGGAAGATACAATTTCCACAAATCAGAAGTATAATCTTACAGCATCAATGTCCTGTTGATGGTTTTTAGGTACTTAATTACTTCAATTACAATAACAATTTCAACAACCACCACAGTTAACATATCTGACCAATAAAAACTTGTGTTGAAATATACAGTTTACATAAATTAAAAGTATAATCATACCCACAGTATTTTCAAGTTGAAATATCTTAACTTGAATGACAATAATGACAACTAGTAACTTCACAACCATCACCTATTTAAAAGTCCATCACAGTTTAAACTTTAAAAATATCCCCACAGAAAAGAATCTGACACTGAGACAACAACATACAGGATCTAATCCAAGTTAAACCCCCTCCCCTGCCAGAGCGTGGTGTGCCTGTAGATACTGGAGAGGTCATGACATTCAGGTGTGCTGCTGATTGCAGTTGGTCTTGTCAGAGGATGATCACCTGTCTCGTGTGACATCCTTCTCTTGTCACAGATACTGTGAATGCCGATGAGGCAGTTGGGTTCCACTTTACATGCTATTTGAAGAATCTTTGTTTGGGTACAGGACGTTTTGTATTTCCTTCTATAGTTTATTTATAAATATACTGTTGTATTTATTTCTGTTATCTGTTAATGCCTTATGTAATTATGGCAAACATGAGTTATGGAAGAAGCTTGTTACAGCTTTTTAAGGCCCTGTCTTATAACTAATTTGTCACATTTAAAAAAGATTAAAATGCAAACATGTTATATGATAAATGTATGGAGTTCTTTCACAGATCATATTGTCACGAATCCTTTTTTATGATAATAAACTGTCATTAATCAGTAATTGATTGTGAATTTAATCACATATTCTTCCATATGAAATCACATGTTTTTATTAGATGCTCAGAAACTACCAATTTATCTATTATCTGTAAATTGAGACGGCTGAGATAATTATCAAATACAAAACATTATTATTAATAATTCCAAGGCTGAGATAATTATCAAATACAAAACATTATCATTAATAATTCCACTTATGATCACTTAGTGTGCGAGCTGAATATATTTTCATTGTAATCTTCGGAATGACATCTGGAGGAAATAAAGAATCTCTCTAAGTAGTAAGGTAGTAATAAGATATAGTAAAATATATTTAAACTGTTATTTTTATTTATTACCAGGATGTGTGGTAGACTGGTTAATAGTCCCTTCATACACTGTCCTCATGCTAATTAGTGTGACGGTAAACAATAACAATTAACATGTCTAATTACATATCAGTTATGCACCTGTTATGTCATATTCAATAATAAGTACATTCCCTCTTGTCAAATTAGCCATGAATTAATCCTTATAGCACCACTAGCTTATATATTGTTCTGATGATCTGCCAATGATGACAGCAAAGGGTTCCAGATAGCCCTATTATGACATCAAAGGGTATTTAATGACAGGTGATATAAGCCTGGGATTGAGCTGTGAGGTAGAAGCATACCTGGGTCTGTTGAGAACACACCCTCAGGCTAGAGCTGTTTGCTACACTCCAGACTCTGTTAGCGCTTGCATACAGTGTATAATACAATCTGTCTCAGCCAATCAGAATGAAGGGACGTTTACTTTTGGAGTAGAAGAGTTTATCCTGTGTAAATTTCTCTCGTATTGGACGTGTTTGTTGAACAACTTGTCTGAGAGGCCGTTGCAGGTGAGGTGATTGTCGCGTTTGAAAGCGATCAGCGTTTGAGATTGGAATATACCTTGCAGGAAGCCTTTGCAACCGGCTGATGATTAAGTGTTTTCCTTGAGGACTTCATTTATTTATTGTGTTAATTCAGAATCTATTTTGAGGTAAGAACTTGTACTGCATTTTAATTGTATTTTTTATGTTAGTTAAAGAGTAGTCTATGGTAAAAATAGATTGAGAAGTACTTTAAACCCAAACAAAGTTTTTATGCCCGATGAAATGTCATGTTACCATGGTGAAAGTTAGATGTTGCTACACTTCTTATGCCAAATCAAAATCATTCCTCTGAATTTCAAATATCAAGCATGCATATCAATATGGTAGCTGCCTTTTTTTATTTGTTATTAATTGAAAATAATCACAGAGGTTTGATCACATGTAATATCAATTTAAAGAACTATTTAAATATGATTGATATTTTCAAATATTTCAATGTCAAAAATAATATTTTTGCCTTGTTAGGGTTGCGTAGTGATATTTAGCTATTGCAACACTTGCCCTGAAATGACTACAAATTATTTTCTTCTTCGAAATGAAATGTGTTTTTACCAACATGTTTACCCTTTACAAACAATGAAATTTGTGTTTGAGTAAGATAGATCAAATCCAAATATTCAGTTCTATTCAAAACTTCTTTTCAAATCCAAGTATTTGGTTCTATTCAATACTTCATTTTAAAAACTGGCATATTTTCAATTAAGTAAATGAATTGATGAATATAAAGTTAAAATAGATTTGACCTTCACTGATTTGTATCAAGTTTGATGTGTTATGAAGCGATATTTAAATAAGCGATTTTATTGTTTACCATCCATTTTCATATTTGGGGGAATATAATTGTTTGAATCATGTCATTGAAATTTGGATTTAATCTCATGTATTTCTCACGTGTGTGCCACAGAGGAAGAAATCCAGATGAACATTGATACAATATGGTGACGTAAGCGCCTATATTATTTGTGTCCCAAACTATTGACACTGGCTTGTTTAATGTTGAAGCTTGTGATGCTGTTGCCCTGTTTAATGTTGAGGCTTTTGTCTTTGCAGGACTGTTTGATGCTGTGGAACAGCAGGACATTGATGTTGTCAGGACTATATTGGACACCGGAGGAGTTGAGCTTAACAGGTGAGTGCCAAGTATTTGCGGATAATTTTTATTGAAATAACATTTTCAAAGCTGTCTGCAATATTTAGACATTCCAGTCCTTGTATATAGTCGTGCAGGCTGTGATGTCTGCATGGTTTGGAATATAATCAGCAGGAGAAAGAAAATTTATAAAGTAATTGTTGAAGTGTTTGTAATGAAAGCTATAACTTTACTTTGTTATTTAATGACATAAACTACTAGGCAGGTGTACTATTTCTACAGAAAAGATCTTGTTCACAGGTGTAGAAATGGGATCATTTTGCCCGAGGTCCCAGGGTCTATAATCTAGTACTAGATATGAGATAGGAAGACAGTCAAATATTTGCCAAGAGCCATGACACTATCAGCCAACTGAGACATCAGCTTTATCAGTTTTTGAAGATGGCCTTTACCAACATGACTAGTTGAGTGTCATAAAGTCAGTGGCACACAAGGAGACACTTTTATTGCTATTTGTTGAGTGTAGCTCTGAAACATTGTGACACAAAATAATAGAAGTTGCTTTCCATAAAAAGTGTCATGTATTCATGTTCTTCCAACTTCTAAAAGCCTATTAAAGACTTCTAGATCTGTTCTTCAAAAAAATTCATTTTGTGAAATAATAGTTAAAATAACCAATTTTCCCATTTTATTTTAATTTTTTTTCTTGAGGCACAAAGAAGCAGATTCATTTATGATTACAGAAAAGTTCACATTATAATAATCAATTAAGAAACCTAGCTATGTTTTGACTCACAGCCCCGGCCTTCACTGACATCAAATATGACTGGCATGTTATAACAAGCCTGGTTGTGGTCAGTTGTACTGGAAGAAAATTGTTTATGTGACTATGATAAAATCCCCTGTGAGTAATCCCTTTGAGAGTTGAGTAACATTAGGAAAAGGATTCCAGATGTATTATGTGTCCTGCTGTGTGGTGGATAATCCTCTCAGTTCCTAAGATATGAAGGATATTTCTAAGAAGATTATGATATTAGGGTTGATATGAGGTTTGTTGTCATACATACAGCACCATAGGTGATGGCCACAACTACTTATTATAGTCTCACAATCAAGGTCTTGTCAACACCACTTTAACACCTTCCATGTTCCAGTTGATAGTGTCTTTGAAGAAAATGGACTATTTATTTCATATCAGGCTCTGTTTCAATGAATGTATTTTCACTGTCTATAAGCGAATGGTAAAATGCCCACTGTTTAGGTTTGTTGTGAGGTACTGGTATGTATAAGTTACTGGCACCCTTTACCTATCATCCCCTTTATCAACAGTTAAAAGCAGGATGCATTTTGTTTTGTTTTGTTTAAGGGTTATTTATAAAAAAATCTTTTCCTTCCATAATAAGCTCACATTTTATGACGAAGAATATTTTGCTTATTACATGTATATATAATTATATGTAATTCATTCTGAGCTAAAATATTTCAGGGATTGAAGCATCTTTCTTTTCTTTTTTTTGTGTGCAATATTCTTACTGGTAAGAAGAAATACTTGTATAAGACTGGCCCTCTACAACGCTGAAATTAGGCAAGACAAACATTGTTGTTTGCTCACAGTTTTGAAGGTAATGTTTTGTTTATAGTGTCAACAGTGAGGGTTTGACCCCCCTGGACGTGGCCGTCATGACCAACAACATCCCCATGGCTAAAATGCTCCTCTTCCACGGCGCGAGGGAGAGTCCTATATGTAAGTATCTAGACATCAGGACAATTTATGGCCTCTACTTGGAGCCAGTGTCGAGTACTGGAATACTTTTAGTGAATTTCATCATGATTGAACCTAGTTGGGGAAGAACTTTGTGAGAAGTGTGATGGTTTGCTGTTTATTTGCATATTAATAAGGCTTGAAATAGAAAATATGTCATTAGATGCTCATTTATGAGATCTTTGCATTTAACAATTGGGTGGTTGGTACATAATGCATTCTGCAAAAATAAGACTTAAGACCACGTTATAAATATGATTTTATTTCTCGGCTGTGCATTTCCCGTCTAGTGAGTCTAGGTGGTAGTGTCCTGTGAAACTAAGACATTATCTGTGTAATTAGGAAACCTGTTGGATGGATATAGACCATAAGACTTGAGTTAGATTGTAATCATACTTGCCAGAAGTGTCAATTGGCCCAAGCCAAGTTAACCATTAGAAACTCGTATTATATTGGAAGAGATAAGCGAAGGTATTTTATGGATGACAACTGCTTTATTCTATTATGTGGCAATATCACAGTTGGGGATACCAGAAATGGGCTTCACACATTGTACCCATGTCGGGAATCAAACCTCTGTCTTCGGCATGATGAACGAACACTTTGACCAATAGGCTACCCGACTGCCCCCATTGCTTGACAGTGGAATGAGGACCTGTCCCAAAACATGCAATTATATTAGAATAAAGAAGCTGTCAACATAAAATACCTTGTCTTTACTGTTACCTTCTGTTTGATTGGTATTCTAGAAGTTGGTGAGCAAGTAAGAAACCATACAACTTTATGGATAACAACTTCTGGTTTATTGTTATCCAGCTTGATAACTGTGTTAAAATCTACATCAAAACATCGCTGTATGCAAAAACAAACCAGAAACTGTTATCCATAAAGTTGTACATTTTCTTATTTACTGTTCTTTCCTACTTCTAAAAAATGCCAATGAAACAGTTTATGTTGGAAGAGTGAAAACATTAACCACTGGAAAGCCACACATTATATTCTGTTATGAGGTCTGTAAGCCTCCACACTTAGACACATTTAGTCTCTGGTCGGTCAAAGCTTCACTACTCTGGACTAATCTTATTAAAGCTCAATCTAAGACAGAGTATGTATTCACAGTCCAACTTGAGAAGTTATAACAAATGACCAAAGGTCCTAGCATAAGTTCCCACCTGAGATCCTGCTGGACATTGTCCTGGGTGTACTGAAACAACACACTTGTTGTCCATGTGTACCTTATGGCTTGGACATGGTATGGCTGTGTTGTTTCACCCATTTACCTCTACTCATGTGATCAGCACTTCCAACAAGCACAAGCTTGCCAGTAATATATAAAACTAGCAGATCCTTGGTCCCCACTCTCATTGTAAACTGCATCATGAAGTTCCCTAGTCTCCTTGGCCTTCAGAAGAAATTAACATATGTGTTTGTTCACAAAGACAAAGTTGCAGGTAGGAGAAGATTCTAAGGAATTGTGTCTCTCTACTAAATATGAATTGGTTAATAGTGTTTTAACATTGTGTCACCAAATATAGATATATGTCTGCATGTTTAAGGAATAGGAACCATTTTTACATAGTGCCTTGAAAGATGTGAAATGTTTATCACATCAGGGTGTCTAAAATTGCATCAACTCCATTCTGCACTAGCATGCCAAATCCAACAATGTACTTTGCTATACAAAATCAGTGTTGGTAATGGGTATCCTAACATTGCTTTTTCAGTGTTTCTGCACACCTAACAAACAACTGAAAGGAACCTGTGTTTTCAAACATTTGTGTCTGTGACCTTATTGGTGTCTGATTTAACCTTTTATTTCCTGTTATTCTTTCTTGGATCATGCACTGTAAACCGTGGTGGTCACAACAATGGATTTGGAAGAAATAAATACAAAGGCATGTCAAACTAAAACATTAAGATAAATATGTAACTAGCCTGTGTTTTATTTACATAGTGTATTATCAGGTACAATAACACCCCATTGTGTTGCCCCTTTGATTATTGTCCCCCTCCATGCTCCCCCGCAACTGATTGGCTGGGGAGGATGAGGAGGAGGGCACTGTCTGGGATTGCCAGCTATTAGGGATGTAAGTGTCCCAACACACTCATACAATATTTCCTGACTTCCCTGTCTTGCTTGCAGTTCAACAAGGTGACTGTCGCTTGGACAAGCTTGAGGCTCTCATAGCTGAGGCTGAGAAGAAAGTTGTCGACTTCACTGCTGCTGTTCTCAACAGTTCATCGGGAAATGCAAACATCTCGCCAGCTCAGCAGAAGGTAAATATGCTGGGACATCATGGTTGCAAATTTTTTTAGAGAAGAGGGATTTGGGATTTCGTCCATTGAATTATTTGAGTTGGAGGAAAGGCATTTGCACTGAGTGGTGTTCAACCGCCCTTTGAGTAATGTCCTCTGGTAATGAATACAAGTGAGGGCTGTAATGCATGTGGCCATGTTTTATTAGACAAATATAAGCATTGATCTCTTTAATGTTAGAAATTTAATAATTTCAAGTATGATGTGTGCTTGGTAGTTAACTGGTTCGTCATGATTCTCTAATGGATGTGTATTTGGATGGAACATGTTTCGCATTTTCAATGTAATGTTTATTTGCATTGCAGGAAAATGAGACTCAACTAAGTCACTGGGAGTTCCGCTATCGACTTTTGAAGAGAATGCGCGCAGGGTACGACCATGCAAGTATGTACAACAAACCTTACTTTTTTTTTATCCTCACAGCTTTGTGTAACACCTAGAGAAAGAGTTGTAGAAAATTCAGAAAGCAGAAAATGCTGAGGCTTACTGCATGTTGTTGTTCAGGTAGCAGCAACGGTTTTGGGTTTTTAAAAGTAAACATTGTTAAACTTTGTTTTCTTTAAGATTTTGAGATGCTCAGTTATAGTACACAGATGACAGGTAGTATTTGGTCATTGAGAAGTTAGATGAAAAACACTTTACATTTTGTGGATAACAACTTTTCTGAAACTAAGAAGATAAGATTCCTATCCTCAAGTCCTATTTGGTTGGTATGGCCCTGATGTTAATGTGTTGTGTTTTCCAGGGCCTCCAGATGCTCCCACCAATGTTCGTCTCAGTGTCGCCAGCAGTTCCTCGCTACTAGTCAACTTTGGGGAGCCACTGAACCACAATGGAGCTGTAGTCACCAAGTACAGAGGTGAGACTGGAGCCATAATGACACTGTGTGTGAATTTACAGATTCAGTATATTAAGTAGTCTCTATATTGTGTGCTCTTTCAGTTTGAATAAGAACAAGTGTTTTGTAGGTTAACATTGGTATCAGTTGGCTGTTGACGTAATCTCGATGTGTAAATCATAGTAAAATTGTGTATATTTAAGTAAAATTGTTTGTAATTTGTATTGGGCTTTCAAAGTGTTTTGGTATGCTCAAACAATTTTGCTTATTTCATAAATATTATTGATTTTGGTTACACTATTATGTATATAATGTATGGTAGATGGATTTGTGTACGGTTGATTTCACCCAGAAATTTCCGTGTTTCAGTGGAGTGGAGCAACTCAGAGAACTTCACCACTGTAACAGGGGAGGTAACTGTGGAAGATGTACGTCAGCTTGAGTTTGAGATTCAGGGTCTTGTGAAGGGAAGTCAGTACTACGTCCGTGTGTCAGCGTGCAATATGAAGGGTTGTGGGACATCTACCCTCAGCAATCCACCTTGTGCTGTCCCATCAAGTATGTATACTTCTTTTGTTCATAAAACAATATTTTTTTCAGAAGTAATTATCTTTAATTATATATATACTGTACATCTTTTATTTCTACTATTTATTTTCTATCATTCCCATTCAATATTAAAAGAGTTCGGGTTGGAAATAAGAATGTATTGTTACAATAAGAAATAGGTATGATTGTACTAATCCTGCTTTCCATTGGTTGGCAGACTGGCGTGATGTGGATGGTGTTAGTCCCCGGGTAGACGGCAAAGTGCAATCTCTACAAATCCTTTTCCATCAAGTCAAACAGTCACGACCGTCTGATGCCTCAGAGCTTAAAGGTGAGGCACTGATAGAGAATGTAGTACTTATTGCAATGAGACTGTTTACAACAGACTTTGTATTCATGGACCAATATATTGTTAATATATTTATTCATTGTGTTAAGCTCATATGAATGTCATTTGTATTGGCAGATTCACGTCACCGGTCAACTGATTCCCCTCAACAGCGGAAACGAATTAGCATCAAGAACCTCTTCATATCTGCACCAAAGTTCCAGAAAAGTCTCAAGAGGTAGGCATCTGATTCTATCTGAACCTTGAATATCTGAATATCAGTTTGCCTTCAGTTCAAAATCTCATGGTAGAATCAGTTAATAAAACATCAACAAACCTTTCTGAAAGCTGAGTGTATACTGACCCGCTGTTTTCTGTCTGTCAGAGGGGTGTACATGGCCTGTCTCCTGTACAACGAGGACAGAGTGCTGGTCACGTCCGAGGAACAGCTGCCCATCATAGAGGTAGACGAGAACTTCTCAGGCACATCTATACAGTCTGACCTCTACTGGATGATGAAGGTATGTATTAAGAGCAGTAACAAATTGTCAATTTGAATTCTCTTGTTCCACCCATACAAAAATATGTAGGGTTATGATTTTTATATATTTATGTGGGGAATCACTTTCTCATCTGTATAAATCAAAACAGTTTTGCTGAAATATAAAAGTGAAGGGAAATTTGTCCACTATTGAAAAAAAGAAATTGTTTTATGACTTGTAGATTACTTGATATTAAGAAACATGTTTGTTGTATTTTCAGATTGCATGTACATGGGATGATGTGAAATCTCTGCGTCATGACATGGACAAGAGTAACAGTGCAGGGACGGTTCACTTCCGCAGCAAGTTACTACAGGCCGCTTCCACATTGCAGGTGGGTTCACTTGCCTGGCTAACTCACCTTGCTTAGCCAAGATATTTCTAAAAATTCAGGGCTCCCTTTCAAATCTCATGATGTAACGAAGAGCTAAGGGAATTAAAATGATAAACATTAAATTTTGAAATTATTTTGGATTAATATGTTGTTTTGTCTCTCTCCACATAGTCTTCCTTGGGTATCCATGATCTGGGTCAGTTCTACCACAAACCTCTGAAGGATCCGAATGGCAGCATTGTTCTCATCACCATCAACCATATTCGTGAGACCAAGTTTGTCGCCCTTGGATCTGGCAAATGGGTGTCTCTAGGCAAGCTGACTCGAAGACAGTCATTGGCTGGCATCGACATGAATGATGCTAACAGTTTACTCCTGAGTACAGTACCGGTAAGTGTAGCCCTCCGAAACTCAGAAGTTCTTAATATTTTTTTTTTGTGATATCAAATATATGAACGTAATGCAAATACTACACTAAGTTGACATTCCATTTATAAAGTTCCGATAAATTACCATAATGTGGTTAGATGAAAGTAACAGTCACATTAGGTGATGTCCACTGTGTTTTGTTATGTAATGCTAATTAGCATGACTCTGTTCCTCCAGGACATGATCCTATACCACCAGGTGAGCAGCATCCCCCTCCCACGTGGCTTGTACCTGGGATACCTCAAGATCCACGTCTCTGTGGAGAAGCTGCAGGTGCTTGTCCAGCACAAGATGCCCAACGTCCTGCCACATGTCAAGGTCAGGGACTGCCCGAATGTATCCAGGTACGCACCTAGTTTTCCTCATAATTCCTTTTCAGACAAGCAATTTGGCACCTGTAGATTAATATGACTATGAGCTAATCATTTGTAACCCCTTCCATGAGCACTGGATCTCCTGGGAATAATTTTCTGTCACCCTACGTGTCTATAGGAGAATATTGTGTAACACTTCATTACATTGTTTTATAGAGATGTCTGTTAGGGGAATATTGTGTTACACTTCAGTACATTGTTTTATAGAGATGTCCATTAGGAGAATATTGTGTGACACTTCAGCACATTGTTTTATAGAGATGTCCATTAGGAGATTATTGTGTGACACTTCAGCACATTGTTTTATAGAGATGTGTATTTGGAGAATATTGCGTAACACTTCAGTTTATTGTTTTATAGAGATGTGTATTAAGAGAATATTGTGTGACACTTCAGTTTATTGTTTTCCAGAGAGGAATGGGAGTATCTGCAGAGCCTGGGTTCCGATGAATCTGTGATGAAGCCGAGCTCCACCCAGCAAGAGTTCCGCACCAGCATCAGCAAGGCGTCACGCAGGCTTCTCTCCATGCTTGGTATGTTTCATTCAGTGACTTCCTGTACAGATTTTGAATACATTCCCATCACCCCATCAGTCTGATGCACATATGTACGGTTTTCTGATGCACTTAAAAATAGTAATACTGTTGTAAGTATATATTTTCTGAAATGATTATTGAATCATATCTCATGTAATATTCCTTTCTGTGTCAGGTATCTCTCCCGATGTGGACCATCGTGTTTATGACTTTGAGGTGATTGAGCTGTCGCCTCAGGTGTCCTTCATCCTAGTTCTGCCCCCTGTTGAGGAAGTGTGCATCGTGCCAGGTCAAACTGATGACCTCACAGACAAGAAGGACCTCTCTTTCCTTCCTGTGCAGGTGTTTGAGATGAGTGAGTACACAATTACCTGCTATTTTCATTGTTAATTTTAAAAAATGGTATGTACTCGACTTTGGGGTTGCACTTCTACCAGCCAATTTTGTTTTCAGTTATTCCCCTGTAGGGTAGGGTTTTATTCTGCTTTCATCAATATTCCAATATATATACAGTTAGGGACACCAGGTATGGGCTTCACAGACCCATATAGGATGTAATGTGTCATTAATATAACTGTGTAAAACGTCACTTGGGACTATGAAACTAACTATGTGCTTGGGACTATGAAACTAACTATGTGCTTGGGACTATGAAACTAATTATGTGCTTGGGACTATGAAACTAACTATGTGCTTGGGACTATGAAACTAATTATGTGCTTGGGACTATGAAACTAACTAAGTGCTTGGGACGATGAAACTAACTATGTGCTTGGGACTATGAAACTAATTATGTGCTTGGGACTATGAAACTAATTATGTGCTTGGGACTATGAAACTAATTATGTGCTTGGGACTATGAACCTAACTAAGTGCTTGGGACTATGACAATAACTATGTGCTTGGGACTATGAAACTAATTATGTGCTTGGGACTGTGACACTAACTATGTGCTTGTATTATTTCAGTCAACTACTACACATACCATCCTGAGTTCATCTCGCGCTACTCACGCTTGTCATCCATCATTGAGATGGATGTCAACCTAGCACAGCAGGCTCATCGAGAGGTAAGCAGATCACTCATCTACTTTTCTGTATGGGTATCATGATCTTGTCACCATTACAACTGATTTAAATGTACTCGTTGTACTTTGTTATGTAAAATTTGGTCAGTTGCAGTTGTTTGGTTGCCAGGTGGGTAAAGCATTTGCTCATTTGCCAAAAATGTCCATTGTTGTTTCCTTTGCTAGTATATTCCTAAACAATATTAATTTGTTTTTGAATAGAATTGTTTAAATGTCCTTCATAAATTTGCCATATCCCTGTTCTTACACATTGCTTTGTTTTCACCAGGCATTCTCCAGTGATGAGCTGAGCACTGCTCGAGTTCGAGTGGAAATCATGGTGCAGCTACAGCAGACGCTGGAGAAGATCTGGAAGAGTGTACGTTGGGTGATGGACATAATCACTTATGCACGGGACAAAACGACCCGTGGTGGCATCCCTCTAGGAGCCATCTCCCAGTACTGTGACGACAACGATACTCCAGAACCAGAACGGCGATCTCGGATCCCGGACAATAACAATTCCTCATCAGCCTTCTCCTGTGATTCCAATGAGATCAGTGTTGGCAAGGACAATCGTAAGATTGCCAAGTTCTATGACCCAAATGAAGATGTTCCAGGACAGTCGAGTGAGAGTGAAGCTGGGTCATCTAGTCATGCTCCATCATCTGGTGTGCTTCGTGTGTACGCTGCATATGAGACAGGACTCTCTAAAGGTGTGAGTGTAAAGCTTCATGTGACCACCAAGACATCAGCTCGGGATGTGATTAATCTAGTCGTGAGGCAACTCAACAAAGCCGTCATTACACGTGGTATTGATGGACCTCTCTACACAGAGGATCAACTATGTGACTTCTGTTTAGTGGCTGTTATTGGTGCAAGGGAACGTGTGCTTAGAGATGACTATGTCCCATTGCAGCTTCAGAATCCCTGGACCAAAGGTCGACTGTATGTACGTTTACGGAATAATGTTCTAGCTGCAATCCAACAGGGTCATGCGACAGCCGTGTAATGTGTTCCAGAGGCCCAATGTTCTCACTGGATCTGTTCAGTGTTCAAATGTTGTGTGTATACACACATAGGATGAGTGTGGGTGCAGGTCACATTGACCTGGTGTGTACACCCCCTGGTGTGATCTCAGTGCTCCTTCATTAAGTGCTACATGAACAATGTTGCATTCTGCACAATTTGTATATAGTCAGTTCTGAATGTGTTATGTGACATAAGACATGTGTGCAGAGGTGGACAGATACCAATTAAAATATTTTTAGAAAATCCATTTTGTATTTCTGAATCAAAATTTACCTGAAATGAACGAAACGTTTTACAATCTGTATGGTTCTTGGCTTTATTTCAGTGATTGCTGCACACGGTATTCACTCTCCATGACAATTTCATAAATAGTTATGAAGTCAAGTATTGTTCTTTTGTGTTGGCATAATTCTGGTCATGAATGTTTCTGCTAGAATACTCAGAGATATCAACAGCATTTAGTATGCAACTACTGTTATGTAACGACAATCAAGCATGTGGATGTTTTTCATCTGAACAAACTGACATTTTGTGGACAGAAATGTGCACTTGCATTGTATATATCTAGATGTATTTGTATATATGTTACCACAGAGTGTAGAAAGTCTAAACTATTTATACCAAACAAAGAAGAATGTGATACAGTGTTTCATAGCTCAGTGTAAGTGTTTGTATGTTCTACAAGAAGTGTTTTAATCAATACTTTTCTGAAGAGTTATCTTAACCTTAAGGTTTTGCATTTTAAATTTATGCAAAAACATTTTGTGTTAAATATTGCAAATTATGCAAGGTTGTTAAGTTATTTTAAAAGCTTTTGAATATTGTTTTAGGTATTTATTTTAACATTAAGCCATTCCAGTTAGTCTAGAGTCTACTAGTGAGTAGTTCTGTTAGATTCACCTGCAAGAAGTGTGTTCATATGAGATGCTCCAATTTCAATAGAGCCCAAAATATTCCACAGTTATCTCACAGAACATCATTTTTCTCATTTTGATAATTTTACTTATTGTTCTGTTTTTGGATTTAATGATTTAAAAAAAGAATATGTCTCTTAAGTTTGCTTATTGTTATACTGGTGGTATAAAAGTTAAGAGCCAAAAGCCAAAAGTTATGAACAAAGTTTTGTTTGGATTTTCTGCAATGTAGGAAGAAAGAAAAGTGACCCGGTTTGTCATACTCCTATGCGAGTAGTCTCCCCTGTGAGAGTGGTCTCCCCTGTGAGCCTGTATATTGCCTGCACAACATGATGTATTTATTGTTGTAGACTGACGTCTTTCATATGTCTGTGATCATCATGATCAGTGTAATCTGGTCTTCATTCATATTGATTATCATCAATAAAAAAACATGAGTCATAAATACTTTTGTCTGTTTTGTTTGCTAAATCAACATAAGGCCAAGTCTGGATTTAACAAATCCACAATTAGTTAAACATGATTGTTTTGTTATTCAACAACAGTAATAATTACTGCTTGGTAGATATTATGCTAAATCCACCTGGTATGGTTACATGTGGAGTTACTTGGCAGGTATTGGTGGTGGGGTATCAGTAGTGCTACTAAATACTTATTAAAAGCTTACCAGGATCTTGGGAATTGTCATGAATGAAATATGTTTTATTGAGCTAATAGTTCTCTCTTACCACTACTATAATTTGTAAAGTATATGTCTAGAAAGAAATATAAACCACTGCTCCACTTTATTTTCAAATATCCTGAACTTCAATGTTCAACTCCAGAAAAATTGATCTAATTTTAGTAAATGTCTTAAAAATATGAAATATCCACCAATACCTGAAACACTGGAATACACACTGAAATATGTAGAAACACTGGAACATATTGTAGGATAAAGAGAAATAGAGTAGGAAACTGGAAGGTTTCAGTTTCAGTCTATATATTTCACTATAGAATGCCAAATTGTCAGAAAAACAAGATGAGTAGTTTATCTAATAAATAAACGAAAAGTTGCGGTTGTTTATCGTACAATAAAACACTGCAAGGAGAATAAACCATAAGGAGCGCAGCCCTAAGTTGTTTATTCACCCTGCAGTGTTTTATTGTATGATAAACAACAGCCATGAGTAGTTTATTTCTTGTACGAGATATCAACAGACTATTTAAGGATGTTGAGCAAATGTACAAGCTTTAAAAATATTTACCCAAATTTAGATAATGATGACTTACTGAATAGAATCTGACCTCAGAAATGTCGGACAAGTACATTTTAGGGGTGGGATAAGTTGGTACTTCCCGCATATTGTCACAATCCTCGCGTTGATTATCTAATAATAATAAGTATAATAATAATTATTTATAATAATAATTGCATTTATAATGCACAAGATTCCATTCACCAAGTGGATGCCCATAGTGCTACACTATTATTACCCCGGTCAATGGATCAGTGAACACTCGATTTTCATTCTCATCTCCCTGGGGAGTATACAACCCAAGCTGTCTGTGAGGCGCTAGAAGGTTAACAGCCACATTACCATCTCATCCTACTGGGTACCCACTCACTGCTGGGTGAACAGAGGCACATTTTGAACAAAGTCACTTGCCTAAGGAGACACCACAAGTGGTACGTGTGCTTCAGTGTGGGGCAGGACCGAATCCCTAGAAACTCTCAGGAGTCAAGCTGCTGAACGTGGTCACCCATCCAACTACTCTCCGAGACCGATGTTGCTTCACCTGATTTGTGATCTGTTCGCTGTGCACAGGACCATGTACCTTTTCTGTACCTATTCTCCCTGTACCGAATGTCATATCCCTCGCATGTTTGGCAGCGTTCTACCACTGTGCATCTGCATATCCCAGCAATGGGGAACAACTTACTAGACACTTCCCTCTCAAAAATATCGTCGTCCAATAAATTATGTCATCAAGTTGCAAGCGCATTTTCAAATCTCCAGAAATGAACGTTTTAACGTCAAATAAACAATGCTTTGTTCTTCATTGCATAATAATAAATAGTAAATGGTGTCAGGTGCCAGTGTATATATTAGGATAAACCAATCCTTCTCCCCGTCACTATGGTGAGTTATCAATGTAAGCTACATTAGGGAAAACCTATATTGATGTCGTACTCCTAGATCTAGAAATATGAGATGTAGTGAAACTTGATCTAAAAATACCAGATGTAGTAATACTAGATGTAGAAATAGTAAATGTAATAATACTAGATCTAGAAATACTAGATGTTGTTACAAAGATGTAGAAATAATACATTTATAAATAATAGATGTAGAAATACTAAATTTAGTAATACTAGGTGTAGTAAGACTATATGCAGAAAAAGTAGATGTAGTAATCCTGGATGTAGTGGGGACGTGTTCTCCCTAAAGCTGTGTGGTCTTTTGACTATAGAACATCCCTCGCTATGTGTATAACACTTTCTGGGGGTGTTTTATAGTAAAACAAATGCATTTAATTATCGTAGTCAGAGTTTGGGATTTTTGTCGTTAAATTACCCACACACTTCACCGCAAGACAATAAATAAAAGCGACTAAACCCTTAGCCACAAGAATTTTCTGCTGAAAGTTGATTGTAAGATTCCAGCTGTCACGCGCATGTGTTTATGAATTACTTTCAAACAATGCTGATACCACGTGTTCGTGAAAAGGTAAGCGTACAAACAAATGCAAACAAAGTCAATTGTGCACCTGAAAATACACAGGAACATATGATACAAGCCAAACTAGGAAATTGCATCGGGCACATTTGGATATTTCATTCACGTGTCTACCATAACACTTTTTAAAAGCTTTACCGAGGGCCTTGAATGCTGTCACATTGATCAAACAATTTCAGCAAGAGTCAACTCTTTGACATCTTGGTAGAACGAGAATGCTTGATTGTACCCACAAGTTGTGAAATGTTGACACCAAAGCTGCGGCTGCTGAGGTATTGCCATATGAAGGGGCAGTTGACTATTGGAAAGTTGAAGTCATTCCTCTTGTCATACAGTCTTATTTCTTGTCACTCTCAATCTTTATGCACAAATCTAAACATAAATTAGATGAGGCTGGCTCACTGGCCCCCTTTATTTCTAGTTAAGATGTGTATATCAGTAGAAGGCTTGTTGGCTATGTGATGGTTACTGAACCATATCAGATCATCGATATACCTGAACCAAAAGTTAAAACTTCTTACCTTGTTTTGACTTTGCCAATCCGATCAGAAATTCCGATTCATATGCATAAAGAAACAGATCAACAAGAAGGAGATCACAATTGGTGCGCACGGGGATACATCTACATACCTACATTTTGCCTGAATGTCTTACCCCCAAATTTTACACAGTGTTATCAGTCCATCATGTCGCATAGTTTTTTCAGTAAATTTCAGATGGCATTTGCTTTCATGCGTTCATTGCCCTGAACCTCTGAAGATAGATATGTAACTGTATCTATGGTCACCACGTTTTGTAACAAAAGCCCCTTGGATCAAGGAAAGAAGTTCATCATGTTGGATAGTGGTGCACAAAGTTAAAATAGGTTTGACAGAATGCAAATTGGATCTTTTCTGAGATTGCAAATTGTCCATAGATTCCTCATGGTATTAATTCCACTTGTCTCCAATACTTTCTGAGACTATAAGACATGTGAAGATCCGGGGTAGAAAAGGTCTTCAGCAAACCTATCTTGCCGTAAAAGGAACGGGATTGGGTGGTCAGGCTCGCTGACATGGTTGATGCATGTCATTGATCCCAATTGCGTGGATCGATGCTCATGATATTAATCACTGGATTCTCTGGTCCAGACTCGATTATTTACAGACTGCCGTCATATAGTTGGAATATTGCTGAGTGCGGCGTTAAACAACAAACAAACAAACTAATCTGAGACTATAAAGAAAGTCATATCTTGGTTGTATTAAGGATTATGGTTAAACTGAAAGACAGGGATTTGGTGGTACATTTGTTGCATCCAACAATATATCTCTCCTTGTACAGATGTACACGTATTCGGGTTTTAGAGTCAAGCCAAACGTGCATAGCATTTATGCATGGGTTTTGCATATTTCTACCTCAGTTAAGATACTGACTTATATGTGACGTTATTTGATATGTCAGTGGAAACAACTGCAAACCTTTAGGGCAGCCAGATTTTGGATGACAGCTGGATGGGACGGAAAGACTTAACTCACTCCGAAAGAGATTCAACAGGTTCTTCATCTCTTTTGGTCATAATTTTGACATATGCTTCGCATATAACAACTCACGTGTAAATCATGGCAAGATGATGCCTTTTACGAGCGCTTCATTCAATAAAGGCGACAATGTGTCTGAGCATACAGCACAAATTGAACATGCCCAACATTATAACGTTAAGACAAATGCGTACAGAAAATATAATTCAAACTATATTCATGATCAAATAAAATAAGGTGGATAAACAGAAACACCAGAAAGAAGTAGTTCCTATGCAGACTGGTATTGCAATACATAGATGTGTGTCTTACTCTACTATCGGTGCTGTTGTACATTTTAGTAGTCGTCGGAAATAGTATATTTACCTGACCCGACTTCCATCAATTTGTTTAGTGGTTTTGAAAGCTTCGAAGGGAAAAGAAGTTTCCGTCACCATTGCGGATTTCCAAATGTTGTGTGGACAGCGAGTGACTGGGTACGGTTTTACACCCTTCCTAGCAGTGTTCCAGCAATATCAACGGAGGGGGACACCGACAAGGGACATAACACATTGTACCCATGTTGGGAATCAAACTCAGGCAACGGCATGAGCAATGAACGGCTCTACCAACGTCCCTGTTCTGGAGGGTGTTTTGTAATATTGTCTTCTATGTATGTAGCTGATGGCCTCTGAAACAAATGAAAAACCTGAACAAATCATTATGAAAACTATCAGATGTATTCAGAGTTTGATAAGATTTTTGTTATTTCAACGACTTCATGTGCCGGATAATAACAAAAATAAACGTATATAGGTACGGCTAAGATGTGTAAGCGATTATCAAGAAGCGTTTTACTTATGATTGAACATGAGCAATTCTTTGATCAAGCTGATTTTCTTCGATGAAGATGGGGGCGGCGGTTAAGCGGTCGCTCGTAACGCAAGAGACCGGGGTTCGATTCCTGACAAGGGTACAATGCGTTAAGCCCATTTCTGGTGTCCCCGCCGTGATATTACCGGCATATTGCTAAAAGCGGCGTAAAACCATATTCACTCACTTACTCACTATTATGAGATGCGCGCACCTGAGAACCTGAATAATATGTCGTGATAGGCGACACAGATGTGTAAATCAATAAATACATGTAGTAGGCTAATGTGTTTTCAAATATATCATTACTATTTACATGGCGATGGGGGTCGTATTATTAGCGACATATGCTT